AGTACCTGGTCGACTACGGGGCGGAACGACTATGTCCTGGTATAGTGCCTTATTCTTGCTCAAAATTATATAGTTATATAGTATTAAATCATATAGTCGAAATTATATAGTCGAAAAAAGTTCGGTAATGTAATCATAGATCTATGATGTAATGCAATTAATCCTCTACGCTCCCCCCCCCCCCCATCACTAATGTTTCTAACTTTCCGGCCGAACAACCTGTACTTACCGATCAGATTAGTATAGACTTCCATGTATTTACTTCAGCAACCAACCACGCAAATATATCGTCACGTCACAGCGCTTCTTTCTAAATTTTCTTTCTAAATTTTGAAAACTTGGTCATGTGCATTATGATAATATAATAAAAACGATATAAGGAATAGGGTATATTTACAGAAGTTTTATATAAATCTAGGGATATTTTAATTTACAAAAAGGTCTATCAATGACTTTATAGACGTTTGAACTTTCCATGAAGTTGACTAGAAGTTTCATGCAAGTTTTATAATATTTTTGCCGATCGTCTGTAAAATATTATGGACATCAAAAACAAAACATACCATACTTTCCTGATCATAAGCCCCTCCCCGAGTATAAGCCCACCCCTCTGTTTTTAGATATGCACATTACCAAGTTTACAAACAATATCTGACCATAATGAGATATAACTAGCAGCGTAGCCAGGGATATATCAACCAATAATCAAGTTCAATAATCAGTCAATATCTGACTATGTTACATCACAGCTAGTAAATAAACGCTACTCGGACCGATGAATATGATACATGTATATACTGATAGTACAGGCCCGTAGCCAGCACTTTTGAATAGGGGGTTAAAAAAAAAAAAATAATATATTTGACATGAAACGTGTGAATTTTATAATATTAAAAAAGTGTCTGAGCTCTGTTACAGACATTTTTATATTCTCGTTTTTAAATTCAATTGGTTTACTTTGTGTTACGTTGGTAAGTTATTTCACATAATGTCTTTGAACTATTTTACCATATGATTTTAGAGAAGGGGTCCTGAGCCATTCCCCACCCACAGACAAACGCATCCACACCCTAGATCCACTACGGCGAAATGTTGTACACAAAAAAGACAAGACTATACTTATCTTAGCATTATTGTCTAAGCATTTGCTACTCACGAGTTTTTTCGCTCTTCGCAGATGTTAGTGCACATAAAAGTGACACGATTTCATGTCGAAATCTGTCTACAATTATTACCAAACGCTTCAGCGTGGTATTAAGAATTTGTTTTCAGGGTTGGGTGATACCAAGATGGAAAATGGTTGCACATATGGGGGTAATTCCTGGAATTGCAATAGAGAGGTTTCAGGCCAAAATACAATATATAGTGTTTTCATGTTTCGGCTGATATTTTTGTGATATTCTGCTGCTGTAACTAATGCAAGATTTGTTCCGAAATTCAGTGTATTGTGTGCACTCAAGGGTTATTCGTTTTTTGCTGACAAGACCCCTATTTTTTAATGGCAGATTCGAACTAGGTTCACTCCCACTGGGAAATATACATTGTCGCTTGAATGAGAGCTAATTAAACACATTTTCCAGACCGGCGAAAGAGTATGTAACAGCCAATAGACCATTTTCCGTTCACTGCGTGAATCACGCGTTATGCGTGAAATCGAACGTAAAAACAGGACAAACAAAGGTCATAGCATCGTAGTCACGTCAAACATCGCGTGGGATTTGACAAACGCGAAAGTATTTCGGGGACATTTCCATGCTTAATAATGTGCTGTCCACATTTGATGATAGGCATTTTCGATTAAGTAAGGGTATTTGGAAGCAATATTCCTCTGTCGAAGATCGGCCGGTCAATGTAAGCTGCGAAATAAAGAAATTCTAATTCAAAATCAAATCGTTTGATTTTTGCGGCAGACGTTCGACGCGCGTCTTTCATGCATCTCGCGAGATCTCGCAATTGTACGGAAAATCACCTATTGTAACAGCCTATCACGTGATTTTACTCAGAATGTCAACATGGAAAGAGGCTATTCCATTTTACTCAGGAATAATTGGGAGTAGAATATGTGAAGGATTGTATAAACAGAGATGTGTATACTGAAAAGTAATATCTATCCATCTTTTGCATCGCTGAGCATTTCTTTTTTAGTATACTTGTTTAAAAATGCTATATTTGCATGATTTGCAATGTTTTTTTTTATTAAAACGACCCCAATGGTTGAATCCCGGGTTTGAAGGAGAATGTAACAGCACATTACATGGTTCGTTTGAATACAATGGTGAAGGGATGGCACGATAGGGCACCATCCGATCTCGATGGAATGTTTCGAATCAGTCATACATAGTTTAAATTAAGTTAAAAGTTCCTACACAGAATTGTGCATTGGCAAACATGCTGTCACAACTGCGGTACTCTACTGACGGAATGACTTTCGTCGACAGCGGTCGTTGATGAGCTGCACGCTACAACTTCGCTTGTGATGTTGCTTGCTAGCCGTAGATTGAATGAATCTTGATTTCCGGTAAAAATGTTGCTCATTTGGCGTTGGTATCTCTATTTGGAACTGGGTAACGCCGCAACTTCGCCAGCAGAAACCTCCTGGTACTTTGATGTTGATGTTCTATGATAAAGCTCATTCAACATACATCAAATCGTAGTATTCCATGTGGTGTACAGCTAATAGTAGGGATTTCAGTCACTTGGTTAAAGGGGAACCGCTCA